TAGCAACCAAAAAATTTAAAGAACCTTTAATCTTCTAAAACTATAAAATCGTAGACTCCTGACATAAGCTGTTTTTTTCAGTTGCCTACCATAATTTGCTTGTAGGCTCGAGCTAGCACAATAACTGCTGTTTGGCTACAGGGTAACCCATGTCCTGCAGAGTTGCGCTAACCAGAAATACCGTCTATCTGGCTTCCACTGTTGATGAGCCGGTTCCCACGTTAAGAAACGATGCTCACGTCATGTGTTAATGCGTGTTAATTTGTGAAGGAAATGAGGTGACATCAGAGGCGCTTCGAGCACATAATACAATGCGCAGTGTACAGGAAGTGATATCGGTGGCAACCTGACGACCCAGAAGTTGGCTGTGTTTTTACTCTTAACTTACAGTCAGTGAGATTGGTCTTGGACGACTGCCTAAAGAGGGTGGTGGGCTTGTATTAATATTGCACTGTATTAATACGAGGAGTGTTTGACAGATTACGTATGAAGTACTTTGAGATGTTTGGATATTAAGAATGCAAGTACTTTAATGATAATGATAATAATTCAGCAATTTTTTTGTCATTTGTGATTCCATTGGTTTTGATCTTTGTTTTATCATCTTGATTTAACACAGCTTTGTTAACATGCTTACATTCGAATAAAAATTATGTAGAAATTTCCAATTATCTGTGAGCTAGTAAAATATGTCAATAGAAATGTGAATTGATTGGCAGTGCTGACTAAGAAATACAGTCACTACACTAAACCCTGTGAAGAGCTTTGAGTTATCCTTCTGACATGAAAGGCACTGAATCAAAATGCAAGCATTTTTATTTTAAGGGTTGGAAAATCAGACAAATTGACAAACTGCATATCTGCATCATATGTTCTAGAGTCTACATTGAATTACTGTGACCGGGGCTCCCTCTACATTCTTGTCCTCCGAGACTTCTTTGCTATGTTCGACACAGTTGAGCATTGTTTCCTCTTTCACCAGCTCTCCTCCCTCATCCACCTCAGTTGGTCCGCACTCACCTGGTTTGAGTCCTAATTAACCGACTGCCATCATTTCGTCTCCGCAAAAATTTTTTCCTCCCGTCCTCGCCAGGTCACCTGTGGCATTCCCCAAGGCTCCAGCCTTTTTTTTACCTTATTTACATGCTCCCTCTCAGAAACGTCACCCGCAGACACGGTGTCAAAATCCACATGAATCGGATGATACCCAAATCTACTTCTCCCCCTACTCCTCCAGCTGCACCTGCAAGTCCAGTGATGTCCTGTCAGCTTGTTTGTCAGACATCAAGGCCTGGATGAGCCCAAACTTCATGCAGCTGAACATTCGACAAGACAGAAGCCATACTCCTTGGCTCCTGTCAACATCTTCTTTCCTTTCATAATCTGAAGCACCTTGGAACTGTTCTGGTACATGAACAATCCCATCATTTAATCGTTTTGCCCATCATTTCATAATTTTGCCTGCCACCAAGTATCAGGCACAAGATGTAAATGAGGGATAAAAAACTGATTTTTTTAATATATATAATATGTATGTGTGTGTGTATCTATATGTATAAAATATCTATATATTGAGTTCATGTTTTTTTTAATATCGAGTAATAAATATTTTGAAATTGTAAAAGAAATTGTATTTTCTTACTTCATTTGATAGAAATGGCAGGTACTAAGATATTTAGGTTTCCCTGATTATCAAAGTTGAGAATATATAAGTAGCTTTTCAACTCTTCAAATGTCTCACTTCAGTTTATTCCAATTCTGTAACATTTTTCAGATGCTGAGGAAAAGTAAGTCCGCCTCATTACTTTGTGGAAGTTTCTTCTGAACTGATCTTAGTACATTTTTGAGGAGTTTTGCAATAATTCAATGTTCCAATAATACAGGGGTAAACTAATGCTGAAATGCTGTAGCTTTATTAATGCAAGAGTTTATTTCAGAGTGAAAGCTTACAGAACTGCCCAGCATATCTCTTTGGACCTACCACAAATCTGATGCATAGCTTGTCTTTCTCTTCTTCCCTCACCTTTGCTGAAAGTACATAATTAATTTTATTTATTGACTATGAAAGAGTGAAGACTGAATGGGTACACTGATATTCTAACCGACTCAAATGATTCAACTAAGAAGCGGTACCATTGTTAAATAAATATTTTAAAGCATGGAATAATGAGGCCCAGTCCAACTTTATCTCCCACCGATGTAGTACGGTCTCTACACTACACATTAATCTGAAGGACAGATACTTTCTGATCCCTAAAGGTAAACAAGCAACACTCCAGAATATCATCTATTCCCACAACTCCACTGTTAATTCCTAGACTTCAAGTCTTTACATATAAATAATATGGTCTCATCAGTGATCGATACAAGGTTAGAATAACTTGTTTTGACTTATAGTGAAATGCCCTCAAGATGTATTTGATTAGCTTTATTGATAACCCTTCTTATTGACTAGAAGCTTTCACTGAATGATCAATCATATTCTCATCCTTTTTACTTCCAATTTTACTAAGGAACAACCTTCATTGTGCATTTGTCTCCTGTTCCATATGTTTCTTTACTTTTGTCTAATAATGAAACCAAAACAAATGTGCTTGAAATGGCAACAGATTAAACATCTGAAAATCCTTTCCTGCACCTCTAACCCTATTACTAATCCTAGTTAAGTAGGCATTTTTAGTTTGGAAATTGTGTGTTACATTATAAAAGTTGCATCAGATTACTGCTATTAAAAAAAGTTGAAATTTTCATATTCTCGAGTACTAAGATGTGAATCATTGTACAAAACTGCAATTTTTATCCTTTGAATGCATGAATTTATTGTATTTGACAGCAAACCCTCCTATCACCTGTACAATCTACAGAGACGAGTAGATGCTTTCAGACTTTGACAATCCAATTAATATGGACTTCATTAAGATGTAATCAAAATCTGTTCCCTAGCAAATCACTAATCGTTGCAGTAGAATATGGATTGCAATATGAATAATACTGCTCATTTTTGTTGATGTTTATCTATTAGTTAAAACAGATTCCTCTCAGCACAGTGTTTTTCCAACTTAAATATATTATAGAGGATCTACTACGGAGGTCCCTTTACTCTTTGTAGTATTTACCTTAAATGTGGCAGACAACATACAGAATCTTATGCAGATAAACTCGTCTGACTGCAGTGCAAACTAGATAAATCATTTCAAAATGCCATTCGTGATCAGGTTGGTGGATGGTGTCAAAGTAGGTCATCTTTGACTGCGCTTTCGATCATCTTTCCCCTCCCACCCCCTTTGCCTCCCACCACCAGCTGGGGTGCCCAGTCAGCAGTGAGACGCTTTGAGTCATCCTCCCAACATGAGAAGCACTATATAAATGTGTATTTGTGTTGTGCTGTGGTAACATCTATGATGCTAATTATCTTGAAAATTTCACCAGGAAATTTCACCACTACTTATACCTAATCATTGAGATATGACTCTGTACTCTCACCCTTTGTTTCCTAACATTTAACCAACTTTCTATCCATACTGCTACCTTAATGCATCCCAATTATAACAACAACAATGTGGATTTATATTGCGCCCTCCACGCCGGACGGTGTCTCAGAGCACTTCACATTAACGGAATCCGGGCCGGGGGAGGAAGGTGACCAAAGGTGCGGTCACCAATTATTTTTTAACAAGCCTTCTATGCGACACTTTAAAAGCTTTCTAAATATACCAGCTCCACAGCATTAGCTCCATCTGTTTTCTGGGCTATTTTGTCAAACACTATGTTAGATTCTTGAGGCAAGACTTGCCTTTTACAAATCCTTGCTGGCAGTCTTCAATCAGCCCATATCTTTCCAGGAATGGGAAAATATGATGAGTGGGAAGGGCTAGAAAAGACAGAGCAAGTAGAAGTAAAGGATTTGTAATTTTATTTGAATGTTTCTTTAATCAAGTTTTATAACTTGGTATTGCAATAATAGAGCTGGTCCTGATATGTAACCATTCTACTGAGGTTTGTTTCGTTGCTAATCTGTGTACTCAAAACTTGGGAAACAAATTCTGTTGGTATCTCTGGGGAAATTCAACCTCACTTCGCTGAGGATTCTGTGAAACATCCATACAGTTCTCTTAACGATTCAGCCTGTTTCATTGAATTGTTCTGAATTTATGGTTATGAAGTAAATTGTTTTCATGGACCTTTTGAGAAAGCTGGAACTTTGAGCTTGTAGTCTAGGCTTGTACAAGAGTTCTGCATTGCCAGGTGCTATCCTTCAGATGAGATTTTAAACCGTCTTCCTATTCAGGTGGACATTAAAGATCCAACAGCACTACATTGTGGGAGAGGGTTTCTCTTGGTGTCCTAGACAACAATCCTACAAATAAATATTTGTCATTTATTTCCTGGCTGTGTTGTGGGACACTGCTGACCGTAAATGAGCTGTGATTCAGCTACCATATTTTGGCAAACGTTTATTGCAAAAAAAAAGAACAAAACAAACCTCTTTGCAGCAGTTTGAAAATGCGTGTCTTGAGGTCATTCTGATAAATATGCAANTTTTTTTCATCGAGACATCTGTGCAGTGTGGAATGTTGCTATAGATCTTCAACTTTCAATTTGTCGAGTTGGATCTCCAGTATGCGGAGGCAACCAACGATCCAACTCCAAGTCAAGTATTGCTGGATTTGGGAAAACCAGCTATTTTACATTCCTATTTGCCTTGTAGACGAAGCAGTAATGTAACTTTCACTCTGTTGCTAATATATTCCTAGTTCTATCTTTACAGTGATTTATTTATATTGTGTATTGTTCATTGCTAATAATCTTAAAACATTAAAATCTTGATACAGACTTCTCTGTGAAAAGTACTAATTTGGGCAATAAATTGTGGAATAAATCTTTTTAATTTTTGGCGTGGATGTATATGTCATTTTTAAATGAGTAGTTTCAGAGGAAATGCAGATTCTATTTGATGAACATTTTTTCACTTTCAACTCTGTGCCCTGTTTAATTTGCAGGATCTTTTTGCAATCAGTGCTCATGTTTATGCTCAGAAGCCACAAATGGACATTCATAGTTTTGAAGGGACCTTCACACGGGTGAGTTGGAAGCTCTTAATGGCTTACTTACTGATAATTTGCTTAAGAAACTTAAAGCTGAAACTGTTCAAGTATAATTCTGATATTTATTTTTAAGTAATTTATGTTGTGTTTCATTAAATTAAAGGCCAAAGTTCAGCCTTTCATATTCTTTAGTTTCTACACTGGTTTTTAAGATGCTTTTGGAAAGTTTATCATTATAATTTTCCGATTCTAATTCAGCAGTGCAACTTACAGGAAGGCAAACTCATAACAGTTACTATAATTTCCAGAGTTGAACATGAATGAACTGTCATCAGTTGAATAATTGCTGACCAATTTCTACTCAAAGGAGCAGTAGTTTGAGTTTGTATTAATAGCGGATTAGGAGTTACTAAAAATGTGTCTGCAGTGTCACAAAAGCGATCATTGTTTGTTGGTTTCATTCTTGGCCACACACTAGGCTAAGCAAAGCAGCAGTTCCTGTTCTGATTCATTCTTTCGGATTCATTCTCGCATAGCTTTATTTCAATGTTTTAACTTGTTTATTAAATTATTAGACTATTTTTGATTGTGTACATGATTCAGCTTAAAGATATGATGATCATTCTGTAAACAAATGATCAGCATCCACATCAGTTGGAAAATATCATGGTTCCTTGAAAACCAGAAAATTGAATAATACTCCATGCTTTGATACACTATATGATAACAGACAGATTATCTCTTATGATGAGACGTTGCTAACTCAATCATACTTTTATGAAAAGTACAAAATCCCATTACTGTGCACTTTAGTTAATGAGCAATCTGCTTGTGCACAGTTACCTACTCAATAAGAGATGGTAATTCTAGAAGGAATTCTACCTGTCACATTTAAGAAATGCTTCACTTGTGGTAAGCTGGTGCATCATTAAGTAGGAATAGTTCTTTGCAATATTTTTAAAAGCAGTTTGCTATATTTCAACATCTAAAAGCTAAGTTTTCATTAACTGCTTTCTTAACTAAGAATTATAATTACTGAACTGAAAAGAATGTTTCCCAAACTAAAATCTCAAATGTGACTGTCTTAAATGTTGGCTAAAGACAGTATTATTCATGTTTAAGAATGCAATCTGTTGGCAGAATGTCAAATCACTTTAGCAGTATTTGAATTTTAAGTGTTCATTTTTGAGTTGCATTCTGTAATCCTGAAACTGATTTGAAGGAGATGCTTTTCCTTTTCCTTTGAAAGAACAACACACAATGAGATTTTGTGCTTGATATTGTAACTAATAATTTACTTACAGCTAAATATATTCAAACTGACTTATGTGATGTTACAGTCTACGAACACAATGCAACTGCAAACTTTCTATTTTTAATTGTTTTGTAAACTAGTCATTTTGCACCCCCTTGCATTAGGAAGAGCAGTTGAGCGAATTAGCATCTGACGTAAGCTATATATTAATAATATGCTGTAATTCACTGATCTGTAAGTACAAAATGCCATTTCACCATTAGTCAAGCTTGTGACTAATATTTTAGATTCTCTATGCTAACTTCATCCTGTAGTACGCATCGCCCGTCTCCGCTAATATCTCACCTCAAAAGCCGCCGAAACCCTGGTCCATTCCTTTGTCACCTCTCGGCTGGACTGTTCAAATGCCCTCCTCGCCGGTCTCCCCTCCACTACCATTCATAAAATCCAGGTCATCCAAAACTCTGCCGCCCGCATTCTTACCCGCACCAAACTCCTCTCCCCGATTACCCCAGTCCTTGCTAGACTGCACTGGCTGCCTGTCCCAGAGAGGATCGATTCAAGATCCTCGCTCTTGTTTTCAAATCCCTCCACTCCTCTGCACCCCCCTACCTCTCTGACTTCCTCTCTCTTCAAAACAGTGCCCGCTGCCTTCGCTGGCCTCCCCCTTGTTCCCCGAATCCTCCGCTCCACCATCAGCGGCCGTGCCATCAGCCACTACGCCCCGAGGCTCTGGAACTCTCTTCCTCACTCCCTTCGCCTCGCCTCCTCTCTTCCTACTTTCAGGTGTCGGCTAAAGACCTTTCTTTTCGACCTCGCCTTTGGTCACCTTCTTCTCCCTCCCCCTGGCTCGGCCCTGGGATCGTTTATTGTGAAGCGCTCTGAGACGCCGTTCGGCGTGGAAGGAGCTATATAAATCCAAGTTGTTGTGTTAACCTGGTTCAGGTTTACATACAGCATCTTTCAGTGACGTTTTGATTGTGTTTGATAGCTTTAGACGGGATGAGGATAAATGAATTCGACATGCTACACTTTGGCAGGCACAGTCACAGTTATTTATATCACAAATAGCAGTTACATGGCCTGTCCTCCTTATCACTCAAATTGCCACAGCTTTGCTGTTGTAAACGAATGAACTTTATTTGAAAATCAAAAAGAGAGGTTCCCCTCCTTCCCCCCCCGCTCCCCCAGGGCTCAACAACTTTTCTCAATGAGTAGCTACAAATGCTGCAAATGAATTACACCCCTGTTAGCGGTGGTTAGTTGATCTCAGCCAATGCAGCAGTCAGCCACTGAAATTGGTCTTAGTGACCTGAGGTTAGGGAGGGAAAATGTAGCAATCAGTGTTTTCTTGATTGGTATACAATGTTTTTTCTCCCTCTCCTTGCAGAAGGGATGGAAAGTCCAATGCATCTAGGAGAGGAGAAAGTGGTCAAGAAAACAGTTTAGTGCAGAAATCCTGAAAACAACCGAGCTAAGAATCCTCAATATAGCTTTCATTTTTTTTACAAAGAAAATAGAATAAACCGTGGATCTGACATGTGAGAGCTTTATCCAGAAGCTGCATTATTCCTCTTTTGTACATTTAAACGATAGTATTGAATGATGGAGCTCTGATCTAAATAAAAAGCACTTCTGTGCTTTTGTCATGAACTGCAAGTAGAATGATGCTAAACTAATATGAATCTAATCTTATTTACGTAATGTGTTGTGTCTTTGCTCTGATGAAAACTGTGGTAGAGTATTGCACCTCCGAATTTACTCCTGTTGTTTGCCTTGCCTATTTCCAGTTCATCTTTCCTTTTTGAAAATATGCTTACATTTATCTTCAAAGTGGGATTTGTTTTGCTCATCAAACCCACAACCCATTGCATGCAAGTTCATGTTTATGTTTTTTTCCGGTCTCATGGAACTTTTGTTAGGTCTTAAATTATCCATCACCTTAAACATCCACCCTAATCCTCTGTATAGTTTTTCGGCATGGTTGCCCCACTGGTGAATGACTTACTTATGTTGCACATCTCTGAAACTAGTAACTACTTTTGAGATGTGCAAGACAAACAAAACCTTTTGCCAGAGTCTGGCACATTTAAGCAAGCTATCTTCTGTCTTCCACCAAAGTTATGATCTTTATTATCTCCTATCTTCTCAAGTTGCTCCAGTTAATTGTCCATCTGTGATACTTTAACTTCAACTCTGGAGTTTTTTTTATGACTCCCCTTTCCCAGTTTATTGGTTCACCATGTCAATGACTTCTTTATCCAGCCTATCCACACTGATAATTCCACTCTGCATTCATCAATTTCCTTGAGATTGCAGTACCTCGTGCATAAAACCTTCACACCTTTTACAATAAAATAGCCAAATCATCAATGTTTAATCTGCATTCCATGACTTTCATTGGCGAACAATCTTGTTTCTTTCAGCTCCTTGTAGACAACATTTCTTCACCTCTCAGTTCAAGTCGAAAGATTAGCTGCTGCCTCTTCCTAATTTCTCTTCTTCCATTGACATTCTGATAATACTTGCATATCTGAGGAAACTGTTCCGATAGTTAATTCAAGCTTGTGGACAGGGCATCAGAAAAAGCTACTCATTCAATAGGTGATCCTTCTGACCTTTTATCCTCTCTGGTCGTCTCAGTTTTATTCATGTTTCTTTGGGTTACTATTCCGCGCAACTTTGGCCACTTGTTCCTTTCAAGCAGGAGATAACAATATCCTACATACTCTTCTTTCCTCCTTGGACATTGTGCTGTATTGAAGTCTCCGACTCATTCATCTTTCCCAGGAATTGCTACTTCAGACTTCCTTTTCTCCTATAACGTGCAAGGTTCCTACAAACCCAAGCTTCACTTCAGTTAACCACTTGATCTTATTGGTCTTATTTCTGNTTTTTAATGATGTATTGTGCTAAGGAACTCAGCCCTTCATCTAGTCTCTGAATTTTTAAAAAAAAGTTTGAGACATTCCTGATGGGATTTACCTAAGCATATCGGCCACTAAGCAACCCACCCTCTGGAACTCCATTCTCGGGTCCCTCTGACTCCCTCCTTCTCTCCTCTGAAGGTATGCTGCAAAATGTTCCTTATTGACTGCACTTTCGGTCATCTTTCCCCTCCACAGATCCCTCAGCTCCTGCCCTCAGCTCTAGTGCCAGTCAAAATGGTCAAGTGCTTTGGAACGAACTCGCGATGTAAACTTTGCTACATAAATGTAAATTGTATTGCATTGTATGGTTCAGAATTTAAGAAAGTTTTGGTTCAGAATAAAATGATCAGAGTACTCTTCCCCTTGAATTATCAGCATACACGTGGTCACTTCACATACTCTCCCTATTCGAAGAAAGTTTAAACTCTGAGCCTGAAAAAAAATCACAGTTAAATAGTTTCAGTTTTTCTGTAATTTGGATAATAACTGGAATTAAAAAAAAATCTATGTACAGTGAAAGGCAGATAGAGAAATAGAGAGTGAGAGAGTGAGAGAGAGAGAGAGAGAGAGTCAATCTTCTGGGAAGATTGCTTGTACAGTTATGTGATTTTGACTGATTTGGGATTGTAAAAAAAAATATCTCCAATGCAGTTCCTTTAAGAAACTGATATTGTAGCCTAGCGAATTTACTTCCCTTTTCTGCTATACATGACTTTCAATCAATATATTAATTAAGCATTATTCTGTTGGTACAACTATTACCTCTGAGTTAGAATATTACGGGTTCAAGCTCCACATCAGGATCTTGAGTCTAGGCTGACACCACTGGTAGGATTGGGGAATAAAACTATTGGAGATGCCATTGTTTGGATGAGATGGTAAACCAAGGTTCTGTCTGCTGATTCGGGTGGACATAAAGATTCCATGATATTTTTCAACCTTGCCAACATTTTTCCAAATAAATTGGTTATTCAGGGCGGCAGGGTGTCAAATGTACACGTTTATATGTTGGTTGGAGACAGGAATGGTATTTGATTATGATGCCCACTATGGTCCAAATTACTTCCCAGCACTCACTTTCAAAGATATAGCATAATTAAAGGTCAAGAAATGCAAAATATCATTTATCCTTTGTAACTCTATTTACTAGTGGTGAGCATCACAGATAACAAAAGGAAACATTTCATATAAACCCTTGAGTTAATTTTTTCAAACAATAATGTATTTAATTGCAGGAAGACAGTGACCCATCCATCCATGAAAGTCTAGGCACAGAAAACGCACTGTGGGCCAGCACAGTAGTAGCTTCAGGTGAGTGCATTTGAACATTTGTTTTTCTCCTCATATCACGTGACTTCATCATATTAACATTTCCAAATCTTTGGTAGGCATTACTTTTAGACCTCAGATTCTAGGTTATACGTTTCCAGAATGATTTGTAGATTGTTGAGAATTTCTACAAATTTTGAAGTTCTTTATAATATTTTGATAATTAATATTTCCAGTATTTTTAATATAATTTTTTTTATTGGGGTTTCAAATTGATGACGACAACAACTTGCATCCATATAGTTCCCTTCATGCAGGGTAACATCTTGGGAGCGGTTAACAATGGAGGAGCTTAATACACAACAGGGGAGAAAGAAAACGACTTTTTAGTCATGGTAAAGAAGAAGGTTTTCAGGTGCGATCGTAAGACTGGCAAAGAGAGGAGGCAAGGCAGATGGAGTACCAGAGTTTTGGGGCATAGTGACTGAAAGCACAGCCACTGATGGTGGAACATAGGGGCAAGGGACATGCAGAAGGTCAGAGCCAGCTGAGTGAAGAGGTGGCCAGAGGTTTGGGGTTTGAACAGTTTTGAGGGGTAGGCAGGTCCTAGGGGTTGAAGTGATTTGTACGTTTCCAACACGCTCCCCTCCCTAGCAACAAGCAATATGTTCCGCACGTTCAGCACTCTCCGCATAACATAGTGAAACCTAAATGGTTTTCTTTCCCCCTTCTGATCTGGAGACCATGACCCCTTATGGATTTCTTGACTATTCAACTTAAGAGTCCAGCTTTTGTCTCTCTAGGATGCAGAAAATATCAGTTAAGATCACACCTAAATCTTTTATGCTGTATCTCCCAAACTTTGGTTTAAAACCAATTAATTTGTACCTACCCTATTTGTCCATTCATTGTAGCATCGAGCTGGTTCTTAACTTAATTCAGTGTCAAGTTGGCCTTGACCATCTTTGCTGGTAATCCATTCCAGTTATTTTTATCCTCTTTCTGATTATTTCCTTGTCTCTATCTTAAACATGCCCTTCACATTCCCAAATCTCTTATCCTGCTGCCTTGAAGTCCCATCACGTGATCACCATACAGCTCTTTAGCTTGAATTTGTTCAAATTTTCCAGCTGCTTGAATCACTGTAGCAGTAAGTGGTGCAATTTTAATTCTGATGTAAATCCATGTGTATATGAATATAAGTGCTCCAAGCTTCTGCCTGCGTGAAGGGTGCTATGTAAATGCAAGTTGTTATATATGGTGTTATCATGCATAATGCACACCGTTTAAGTTATTGGTTAATTTGAACCGGATGTTTTCTTTCCTCCTATTTAAAATTTATTTTTTCTATTTTGTTCCCGCTTATTCCACCCTGATATGTTTTATTTAATACATAGAAATGCCATAATCTATTTCAATGCCAGAGAAACCTAAATTGTAGAAGTCCCAATTATACGCAAGTTTTTGCTGTATCCCAATTACTTTAAACCAATACACAGTTAGTGAGCTATTTTTTATACGTTTGCTTGCAGTGTTTGGATCATTGCTGATCTATTGCAACATCGCTGACCTATTGCGTATAATTGGGATCCTCTGTAATTTTAAATAAAGAATTGACTTTTTCCCTCTGTTGGGATAGCAATAGCTGCTAGGATGGTTTATTACAAGCCATTAGTTGAAACAAATGCTGAGCGAATGCATTTCCCCTGTACATTGCTATATTATCCCTAAGGTTTGTTTTGTAATATCCAACAGGGACCTTCTTGTATCAATATACCACTTATACCTTATTAATAAACCTTTCAGAAATGGCATCAACTAATAAAAATACTAATGGGACACTTATCGTCTGGATTTATTGCATCTTATTTTTCCACAGTGCATTGAACCTCATATACTTGCATCAGTCTGCTGTTAGTGATCCTCCACAGTATCGATCTGTGGCCTGTCTCCTCTGTAATTGTCAGTGAAGCAGCAATAGGAGCTGAAGGTTTTGAGGTGTTTCCCCACACAATTCCCTAAGCACCCCTTCCTCGCCTGACCTTGACCCACAGATTGACCTCGACATGTAGTGACTGGTTGTCTAAACAAGATTTTGTCTAACTAAGTGACCGCAGGGATATTCACAAGTGCTCAGCACATTGATATTTCTTTCAACATTCACTCCATAAATAAAATTAATTTGAAGTAAGCATTTTTTTAAAGCTTTGTTCCTCTTTACGATTAATAAATGGTGGGAAACATCAGACTAGAGAGATGTTTCGTAATTTAAGTATATATATATATTTAAGTAATGTGTGGTAACCTCACCAATCTCTGTTGCATTCTATGATAAATGGATGTTTAATGTAGAAAGGGCATGTGTAGGTCAGAGAAGCTGCTGTGTTTCATGGGTGATTCATGTCAGAAGGTTGAAATTCTCATCTGTTAACCATGCTCATTGTGATGCTGGTCTATCTCTACTGTAATTTAGTACCTTTAATGAGTTATTTGCTAATTTTTTTCTCCTCTGCCTTGGAGACAGCTGTGACAAACGTGATTAATTTTTTTTCGTGGTCCCGATAACTTTAGAACTATTTTGTATTTCTTTTATCTTTCCTGTCCTTGTTGAAAGTAGTGTAATAAATCTGTACTTTGTTTAAAATTTGGTTCTAAATATTTTATGAATGAAACCAAGGTATTGAATTGATAAAAAGGAGTTCTTTTTGATGCAATTTTTTGTTTTAAAACAAGCAGTCCAGCATGAAAATTAGTCGCATTTAAGGTTTTTATTATTTCTATTTAAATCTACTTCTTATAGATTGCCCCAGTTTTTTTGTCACTCATCACTCCTTTTCTTTCTCATCTTTCAAAGACACTGACTCATGTTGGAGTATTGTTTGATAGGTGCTGTCTGCCCTCTGGTTCCTCACCAGTGTAGCCATTCTTCATGTATGAGGTTATGCCAATGAGAATGGCATAGAAGTAAGAACCACAATACCTGGTTTTGAGGTCTAACTACATTTCTTAGATGCACTAAAACCTTGGCTGGCTGACTGGACCAATGGAGGAGAGATCGGTCTGGTGAATTGGATTTCCCAGCTAAGTGTAATTACAATGTTGATGCTGCCATTTTGTGGCACCGGCTTTATTCATTGCCGAAAATTGCCATTACTGGCATTCTAATTGTTTGAATTGCACGAGCAAGATAGCAAATAAGCTATCGATATTCCTAGTCACTGAATGCCAGGAAGCACATTGAGGCAGGGGTGTGCGCTCGGAGAGAGGGCTGATGGGAGTCTACAAATACAAGGACCTATGGAAATTCTTTGTAATTTTTTCGTTTCGGGCCAGATCCAGCTAGGTCTGAATTTGGGATACCCAGAGACTGGTTTACTGTATAGTTGTTTGGAAGTGGATGTCATGCTTACCTATGTTGTCGCACATCTTTACGTAATATATATTTTTACTCTAGCTTTATCTTTGCAGGTACAGTGATAGGTGTGGTAATTTACACAGGCAAAGAAACTCGCAGTGTGATGAATACTTCCAATCCCAAAAATAAGGCAAGTTCTTGTTTAATCAGCATTATTCTTATAAATTTAATTGCTAATATTTGTCAGTGCTATTATTTATGAGGCATGTTTTTTTTAACATTGCTTTCTTGTATTGTATTTGGAATGCTTGTGAAGTAGTCATTAACCTTTTGAGCACACGTGACTACAAAACCAGAAGCCATATTTCCAAATGCGGAGTTTGCCTGAAACAGAAGCTGGTTGAGAAACTGAGTACTATGCAAAATTTGTTGAGCCGTAGAACAAGATCTTAATGTGTATATTCGATCGATCTAAAATGAGAATCAAATTTGCCAAATACAGTGTAAAAGCAAAAGTAGGGAGAGAGGCTCAGTTGTGCAACTAGAATCTTAGTCAACGGCTAATAGCCACTCATATACCAAAAAGTACAATATATCAATATTACAGTAAAGACAATCACTGCATGTATGCTTGTGTACAGTATAACCCTAAAATGCACTTTCAAGTGCATAATGCCCCAAAAAACATTATAATGGGGCACAAAGCCCAAATGGCTGCCAATACATAATTTCCTGAGTGCTTTACTGCTTGCAAGAAGCGCAGCTGATGGCATTTTCTGATGAAGGCCGGCTGCTGATGCCACTTCCTGCATAGAAGGGAGAGAGATGTCCAAAGATGGTAACAGGATACAAAGTTCAAAGCAGTATCCTGTGTTGAGTGTATTCTGTGAAGCAGCCAAGCCAAAATGTTAAACTTATCAAGAAATAGGGTGGAGAAGTGACCTTAGGTAAATGAGGAGATGTGGAGGCAAGAACCCAAATGCAGAGCCTTGGGTGTCTGAAGATCTAATTGGTTTCATTTAGGGTGTCACATTTGACCTGGAAGTTGTCCACCATCTTATCAGCATAGCAAAGCTCCCAAGGCCCGTCGGAGAAGAACCTGTAACAAGAAGTCATCCGCAACTTTGGAGCAGATTCGTGTAAAAAGCGAGACTGCATATAGGAGAACTTGTCTGGGCCAGGTTTATACCCTGTAGTAGTTATACACTAAACTCCGCTAACCAGTCAAATAGGGGGGAGATCCAAATCAGTTAGCCAGATTTTCCGGCTCACGGTTTGAGAGAGAGACTTCCAGAGTTTCGGGGTGTAGTGGCTGAAGGCATGGCCACCAATGGTGGAGTGGAGAAGATGAGGGACAAACAGGAGGCCGGAACCAGCTGAGTGGAGGCAGTGGGTGGTGGAGTGGGGGAGTAAGAAAATCGGATAGGTAGGGAGGTGCGAGGGCATGAAGTCATTTGAAAATCAGTGAGAGGATCTTGAAATCAATCCATTCGGTAATCAGGAGACAGTGGAGTCTGGCAAGGACTGGTGTGATGGGGGTACAGAGTTTTGTGTGGGTGAGAATCTGGGCAGCAGAGTTTTGAATTAGTTGAGTTTTGTGTATGATAGAGCTGGAGAGATCAGCGAGGAAGGCATTGGAATAGTCTAGCCGGGAAGTGACAAAGTCTTGGATGAGGGTTTTGGCTGCTTTGGTTGTGAGGTACGGACGGAGGCAGGCAATGTGACAGAGGTGGAAAAATGTGGTCAACCTCAACAATGCAACCCTTTGCAAGCACTATATTAGACTGTTAGCCTAGATTATGAACTCAAAGTCCCAATATGGGACTTAAACCCACATCCTTCTTACTCAGACGAGAGTGGTATGAACTGAGCAGACTGACATATTTGATCCAATGATTGGATCACCTTCAACACTTGCACAACCCAGATGCAATGAGAGAGAAGCTCCAGTTAGCAGCCAAAAGCAAAAAAAAAAACTTCTCCAAGCTATAGAAAGGACAAATGAAGAAGCCTAAAAAAAAATACTCATTTTGGGAAAACTGTCCTATCGAATGAAGATGGGAGAAATGTGCTCATCTGCTTAGCTTTTATCTTCATGGATAAGTTTGAGGTTTAGGAGGAATGATTTTAGATGATGCAAATCAGTACCAAAAGTCCATACAAGTCAAAAGAAAAGAAGTAAAAGCTATGGCCTCAAATTTTGTATAATTCATTATGTATTCTAAAGGTAACCTAATTTGAAATTTCAGGAGTCTCGCCAATTTCTTTTTGTTATGGGATACCATTTCAACGTACTTAAAATATATATTTTTGTGTCAACAACAACAACAAGATTGTGCCTTTCATGTCGGGAGGAAATGTGCTTTCAGGCAGAAATGATTCAGATGTGTACAACAATGAATGAAATTTACTTAAAAATGGTCATGTTTAACATAATTGATCAAAATGGTTTTAGTGCACCTAATCTATAAAGTGCATTTTGGCTCAGTAAGAATGTCGACCAGCTCAGTGATCGCTTTAAGGACCTTTGGCATCAATACTTCATTCCTTTTTGCTGTTATTGGTTTTGCAGTGCTTCTGTTCTGTATTCAGTTAACCACAGTATTTTCACTTAATATTTGCATAGTTCCATGTACTGTTATTGCCCTAAAAGCTTTATTTGTACATTATTAAAAAAAACAATTGTTATTACATTATGCTACCTCTTTGCTGATGACAAATATTCTGTGCAACTTTAAATAGTAATCAGACAGATGAGTTTAAAAAAAATGGAGCCTAGATCCAAATTCCTTAAGAAACGTTCCTCAATGTAGATTGCTGAATGCAGTTTTAGAAAATAAAGTGTTGGATCCTGGTTTTAGTTGCATTTTATTAATAATGGCACTTAACACATTTATGTAAATGTAATTTGTGATGTCTCGGGCATTATTATTGTATTTATCCTTGATAAGTCTAAATTATGTGGCATAGTTGATAGGGACTTACATGATAGAGCTTATCAAAAAAGACACTACAACTAGTCAATTGTGACAGTCAGTCATTTCATAGTATTCATTGTCCTAAGTTATTCTAAGAGTAGGATCTCTGTGAAAGGAGTGATGGTACAAATTGCCTGCAGCGGTTATTGTAAACCCTGGAGCATATTGATTTGTGTTTCTAATAAAAAGATGCTTTCAAATGTCTCGGTGACACAGAGGAAGGTGATCTGAATCATTGTGGGAATAATAATGGGTTCTACCATTATGCTTTCCTTCAGAATGAATTGTTAACTCTGATAATGATTTTAATATCCTTAAAATTGTGCATAGCATAATAGGGCTAACTAAACCTTTTTTAACATTCAAGTGTTGCGAGAAGTTTAACATTTTTAATGCATTTCACTGTTGAAACAAAGCTATTCATATTTATACTAATTCGCAAAATACTGCCACCAGATGACAGTTTGGAAAATCGTACGTAAGCTTTACAAAGCAGCAGAATTGTAGCTGTTACATCAGAAGTTGTCACATACAGCAACGAATAAAGTGAGCATTATTATTCAAACTTGCTGACCATTCAATGCTTGGTAATGGCCTTACTGAGATTAGCCCTAACAATAGCTTACTGTTCAGAAATAAAGAATATTTACATCAATTGAAAATAACTCAATATAAAATGCCAATATCTCTCCTACTTTGAAATATAGCAGGTGGTGGTTTAGCCTTGCATTGTACTCCAGGTTAGGGGACACTGATTTGATTCAAAATTAGAATAGCTTGTAAATGCTATTCTAGTATTTTAGCAACAAATCCCCTGTAACACTTTCATATTACAAGTTTTGGTCTTTATAATGTTTAAAAGCAATTTTATCAGCAAAAATGTAAAAGAATGTGGGGCATTTTTTATAAATCAATGCACCAACAAACATTTATAATTTTAGCCAGTTAATTTCAGATCTTGGATTACTCAAATTTAAATTGAGGTATAAATAGCAATTCATTTATGTATCCATCTGCACAATACATATCATTCTATTATTTTCTTACCTGATACAAACTGGGGAGTACATTTAAGATTACTGCACAAGCCTAGAATATGTTTGCAACGACCATAATCTTTGTATAGAGGCTAAATGGCAATCTTTAGTCACTCACACTGATAGAGTAGAGTTAGAAACCGTAATCTCTGTGAACATAAGTTCAAGAAATATGGATTTCAACAGGCCTAATAGTTCAAGTTGTTGAACGCTTAATTCCCAGCCAAAAGGTCATGAGTTTGGATTGACTACCATCGCTTGCCAATCCCAGTGGGATGTTTTGACTGCTCCACTAGATGGAGCGTCACTCAGTTGAAGTATGAAAGAAAATAGGGGGAAAATGTACAGTGAATATGTATTTTAAAAATTGTAAATAGTATGGGTGTATTACTGCAAAAGCCTAGAAGATGTTGGCAGCAACCATAGTCTTTGACTAAGTGGCAGATTTTAGTCACTCACAGTGATAAATTGACTTAGAATGGATGGAGAATTCTGTTGCACATGTCCAAATTTTGGCCAACCCGAGCTGAACAGCTTTCACGTTTTTCTCACATCTCCACATCGAGCAATTATACAAGAAGATTTCTGTTCCTGCTTGGCAGAGAATCCCACTACAGTTGGTTTCTGCCTGCTAGAATGAATAGTGACTCACTTTGTACATATTTACGGGATAAATTGGGAACTGCATCGAAAGCAGTTTTTGCTAGGGGAGTTAATTTGTTTATAATACCATCTGATATTTTAATGATTTAGTAACAATCATTGTAGGAATTAAATTAGAAATTTTGCCCAAACATTTCAGCCTTTTCAAGAGTTCTGAATTTGCAGAAGCAAGTTTGATGGCATATACAGTCATTAGTATTTATATATGAACTGCTGTACTGGCTGCTCGCTGTATTTGAGTGAGATCTAATGGGCATTCATAATGAAGTAATATAAAATTTGTAAAGTATACTTCAACACTTACTAAAGAAAATTATTTAGCAAGATCAGGTGAAAACTTTTAAAATATTCTCTAAATTGAAGGAACTCAGTACATTTGCTAAATTAAACTTTTTATATTGATTTCTGTTTTGCCTTGTGATTTATTTGTATTTTTGGAAGTATAGCCGGTAATTAATGAATTTAGACACAAATTTCTTAGATAAAGTTGTGCTTGCCATTGATAAAGGTCA